GGTACCGAGAACCGTGGATTTTCACTGGTATTGGTACCGAATACTGAAATTTTGGTACCGTGACAACACTAGTTTAGACTCGCACTAGGCGGTTTAGCCAATCACAACACACTGGGCCAGCCAACCAATCAGAGCTCATCGTGTATTTCTGAGGCAGGGGCTTCATAAAAGCAGGAAATGATCAGCGTGTTCAGAGGAGAAATAAAACAGGGGATCTGGTGTCCTCGTCGTGCTGCGGGGTTTGTGCAGGGAAGGGCAGTGGTCAGGAAGGAAGGGTCCAGGTAAGGGGCGGAGTCCGGCGGCCGCACACGCTCCCATCTCCAGTCCGGGGCGAAAGGGGCGGCGGCTTCTTCCAGCGGCTGCATCCTTCTCGCCTTGGCCCACGGCGCTTGAAGGGACTAGACGGCCCGTCCTCCTGGCCCGACGGCCGTGTAACAGGTGCGGTTCTCATCCGGACCGCGGGTCCGGTAGCTCACGGCTCTGGCGGCACGGGAGTCCCTCTATGCACCCTTCCTGGACCCACGAGGACACCAGTGTGCATGCACGGGGAAGAGACCGGTCTCCCGAGGAGAGGCGCGCTCGGCATTTAAACAGCGGCGGTGATGAGGCTCCATTCGGTTCAGGTGTGCCCCATCACACGCCGCCAGCCCTGGCTATTTCAGCGCCCCTCCTCTCTCACGCACCCACTCCCGTCGGGAGCCTGGCGAAGGGCGGCGATTAAGGGATGGGGTGATGCTGATAATTAGGGGGAGGCAGCCAACTCGTCACAATATTTAGCAGTAATGGGGAGAGTTTATCAGCAAACGTCTTAAAAAATCCAGTGGGAAGGCCATCAGACCCTGGACACTTCCCATTCTGCATTGAGAATAACGCCCCTTTGACTTCTTCTACTGTAAAAGGCTCATCCAGCTTGGAAGATGTATCACAGTCAATGGAAGGAATGTTTAAGGGCCTAAAAAAGTTGTCCAATTGAGCTTCATCAGATGAACACTCAGACCTGTATAATGAGGCATAAAAATTCCTAAATTGGTCATTGATAGTTTGAGGATCAATAGTTGTGCCATCAACAGTACTAATTTGTGTGATGTGTTGCTCTGAAGCAGATTCTCGAATCTGGAGGGCCAAAATTTTGCCTAGTTTATCTCCAAACTCATAATACTTATGGCGAGACTTTAATAATGCTTCAGTTGCCCCATCAGCAGTCAAAATATCAAATTCAGCCTTTTTCATAAGCAATTATTTTATAAGTTCAGGGTCATTTGCGTCAACACATCTGGACTGTATATCTACCAGTTCTTTAGAAATAGAGATGCTCTTTTCAACAGTGGACTTCCTACTAAAAGCAGAATAAGATATTATCTCTCTGCGCAGATAAGCTTTGCATGCCTCCCAAATTGTAGACGCTGACACGTCTGGAGTAACATTGGTGGAGATGAAAAGATCAATGCGGCTGTCAATGGTTGTAATGAAATCAGGATCAGAAAGTAATGACGAGTTAAAGCGCCATGGGGATCGCGATAAAGATCTACCAGGAAATGAAATATCCATTATGACAGTAGCATGATCTGAAATAACTATAGGATTGTAGAAACAGGAACTAACAGAAGGGAGCAACTTCTTGTCAATAAGAAAGAGATCGATTTGTGAAAAAGTACCGTGCATGGGAGAAAAGAAAGAAAATTGCTTATTGGTAGGATTGAAAAATGCGCACTTCGTGGAATCGATTCATCTTCCCTCGGATAGTAACGCCTGTGACAATGATGACGTATTTTTGACAGTCCTATAGCACACCGCACTTCGTGGTCACAATTCGCATGTCGTGCGTGTAACAGAGCTGTTGTGAAAACAAGCGTTGTGTCTGTAAACTGTCATAGTCGTACATTTTGGAGTTGTACTCTAACAAACACACACAATCTCGTATCTGTAAACTGTCGTGGGCGTAGATTTTGGAATCCAACTCTGACAAAAAACAGAATTACATACAATACTTTTAAATTACGCACGAGTAAATTAAAATGACACACAAATGCTTTGAATTACGTACGATTATTTTCGACAGTGATTTTATTCCATACAGATGTGTCTTAAATGTATTTTCTGGATAAATGCATGAAAATTGTACTCACAGCAACGCTGGAAACAGCTGAGTCGTGTCTCTCGATCATTGTCCTGTGACAACACCCACTCTGAACCCCAATAGATCAGGCATAAAAAGATGAGTCGACTCAAAAAGGGTCGAGTGCAGAAGCGACGACGAACCCTTACGGCTGATTCGGAGTTGGACTAAATGAATGGATTTTTAAGGGAGGTAAACGTGCACAGGACTAAAACAAGCATGCAAGCATCGGCCGGGGAAAAATGTTACAATGCTGCGAGCATGAAAGGCGATTGTCCTCCTCCTAGAGAATTCAACCCCTATTGGTCAGCGACTGTCCGCTTGTAGTGATGTCATAGAATCCCGCCCACCCTCGCATTTCATTGGATCGCTGTATTTAACAAAGGATTGTGGTATTTGTAGTGGCAATCACGAGGCCGGAGGAAGAATGAAAAAGATGCTGTGTGTGAAGTTGACTAGGCAGATACATACGCAATACTTCAAAACACACACACACACAAATAAACAAATAAAATAATAATAAAAGTCTGTGGGAGGTCATTTTAATAAGACTTTTTTATTAACCAAGGGTTGTATGGGTTGTCATTATTTATTGTGCTTTTATTATAAAAAAAAAAAAAAATGAATTGTATCATTAATATTTGTTTTGTTGAATGATCCTACATTGTACATTAGCTGTATGTTTTGTGGACATTAACAATTTAGTGAATTTCTAAAGTTGTCTTCGGACTGTGGTTCTTTATAATACTTATTTGAGCACAATTTAGCTAATTAAAATATTGAACACTTACTTTCAATATTTTTTTCATTAAATGTTATATTATATCTGTCTTGGCCATAATATTCAATATGCATAATATAGTTTCTTCGAATTAGACCATATAAAACAATTAAATTCATTGTTTTGGCTCTCATAAAAAATAATGCTTTAGCTGCAAAGACCACCTTGCTAGACAATAAAGTACTCTTTATTTAAGCAATTCTGCATTGCTTTTCGGATAAAATTTATTCCTTACATTTCTTGCACATGTGCACAATCTCTGCAAGTGCCTAATATTTAAAAACAGATTTAGAACTAATATCAAATATCTCTGGTCAACTGATATAGTTTTTTTTTTTATGACTAATGTAAATATAACACTTAAAAAAAGCAGGTCAATATAATGCTCATATAATATGTAATTAAATTGTAAGTAATATAACTGATAATATAATGCAAACAAGTATGTCATAAATAAAAGTACTCAGAAGTAAAAAGAATAATTCACCCAAAAATAAAAGTCATTAATTGGTTGGTCCACTTGATGGAAATGTCTGTGATACTTACAAAACAAATATATAAATAAATAAATTTGGATCATAAATCTTTAATGATGTACATGTGCCCTCTAGTGGAATATTCAAATAGTAGTTGCAATGTGTCATGTTTATCATTATATATAAAATATTTGAAGTAAATGTAGTTACACTAACTGCCACTTGATTCTAATAAAACTGTCAATTAACCTTAACTGAAGTAAATTGTAAAGTAAATATTTAATAAAAAGGCAGGCCTAGACAATAGGTAGACTTTAATAATGACAATTATTAAAGAATTATCAAAGAAATGTACATACCACACTCTATATGCAATATTCTTTATACAGCTCATTTAAAATTTACATCAGATCAGTAGCTTAAGAATTACTGTTGACATAATATTATTGATAATGATGAGATCCACACATTTGAATAATACACATTACAATGGTAACTCACTAAAACGTTACAATACAATAACAAGTTTATTTTACAGTTTTACTCATATGTACAGGTGTGTGTGTGTGTGTGTATCGTAGAAATGTAAAAAAAAAATTCCAAGTTTCATTTTGCTGAATTTTTAGCATGCTTTTTGTCCAAGTGGTTAATGGCCCGCTGGACCCACTTATTTTCAGGGTCCATACAGAATTGTTTCTTTGGAGTGCTAGGATCCTCGGGAGCTGTAACAAATCTAGAGCACATTACAGACAAAAGCATTAAAACAACATGTACGTTAAGTAAATACTAAATATTAGTAACAATATAAAGTAGCTACATCTAAACATATCGAGAGAATACTCACACAATGTGTCTGAGAGGGCAAATGTCACTTGTCCAGTAATAATACTCCAGCCGCTGAAGAGGTATTCTGATATTTCGTGTATTAAAGCAGCAGATACTGTTTGCAATGTCACTTGCAGTAGAACCTGAAAAAAATAATGGTTATCCAATATTTTCAGAAATAGATAACAAAAAAACAAAAACAAACAAAAAAAAGATTAGATTGTTTAAATAAAGTCTCCTTTGCAGAAAACTGAATTTGGAGCCTAACACTTTAAACATTAAGGAGAAAAAAATCAACAGAAGCACAGATTACTCACCATCTGAGGTATTAAACTAAAATGTATAACACAAATTGATTTGATATGTGTAACATGTTCAAGCAGAAATGGTAGCATAATGATCATTTAAATGCTATTTGTCCTAAATGCATTTAGACTAACAGTTAGAACACTTAGGATTGCATTTTCATCATGACGCCGTGGGATATGTGTAGCAAAATTCAATTTGAGAATGCATTCCGAGCTGACCACGCCCACCTTCCGTCAATAATTGCTGCAAGGCGGGGATTGGCGGAAGCGTGGTACGTTTGCTTAAATCAAACGTTCGAACGACCGACCGATCGAACGTCTAACCGAACGTCTTGAGCTTTGAGCGTCTTACACTGCAGGTGACCCACGTGACGTCAGCGTCTTGAAATTAGCAGGGTTTTAAACATGTAAGGAGCCAAGCTGCTGTGTAAAGACTATAAATGGACATTACAAGCATTACAATAATTATATTTTATACGTAAAATAATACTCAACCATGTCCTATATCCTGCTGTACTTCACTGAATAAATCTTTAAAGGTGTTGTAGTCATTCTGAGTAATAAATTGAAAAAGCTCCCACCTGTATATGACTAAACAAAATAACATGTAGTTTACTTGAGGTTCTGCTATAAATGTGTCTATTAGAAACATTAATTTAAATTAATTAATTATACAAAAAATTGTTTGAAATGAATTAAGACTTCCCGAGTTTTTGAACGGAAGTCCTGAATGAAAACTTCAAATTGTATGTTACGAGGATTTGCTTAAAGGGTTAGTTCACCCAAAAATGAAAATTAGTCCATAAATTACTCACCCACAAGTCATCCTAGGTGTATATGACTTTCTTCTTTCAGACGAATCCAGTCGGAGTTATATTAAAAATTGTCTTTGATCTTTCAAACTGTTTAATGGCACTCAGCGGGTGTTGCAGTGCATCAGTCCAAAAGTGAAATAAGTGAAATAAAAAGCCAGAAAAGAAGGAAGAAAAAAAACTACTATTCTATGATCTTCATATTTGTTCTAGTAGACCTGTCTCTTTCAGATATGAAATTAACTGTACGTATGTTTTCCTTAGTGCTGTTCCAAGTATATTTTTCCAAAGTAAATTTAAGTTTATATTTTTCAAATACTTCTTTTAATATTATTCTCTTACTTTCATATGCATGACATTCTATTATTATATGTTTTACTGATTCAGGTTGGTTACAATACTCCGACATTCTTGTTTACACATCCTCGTTTTGTACTTCTAATTGGTGACCGTTGTTTTGTTTTGATCTCTCCGCTGCGCTTCCGCGTTCGTCACTTCTGAGCGGCGCATGCGCAAAGCCGACCTCATACGTCATCCGCCCGGAGCTGCTTCCGTGTACAACAGTGAGCGCAAGCTAGACTAAATTGATTATTACGTTTTAAATATGGTTATTTATCTTACAAAAACACATCGATTCGCTACAGGAGGCCTTTGTTCACCTCCCGGAGCCGTGTGAGACACTTTTTATTAAGGATGGGCGCTTTTTATTTGACTTCTTTTGGACTGATGCGCTGCAACACCCGCTGAGTGCCATTAAACAGCTCGAAAGATCAAAGACAATTTTTAATATAACTCCGACTGGATTCATCTGAAAGAAGAAGTTCATATACACCTAGGATGCCTTGAGGGTGAGTAATTTATGGGCTAATTTTAATTTTTGGGTGAACTAACCCTTTAAGTGTCTCTGTTGTCTAGAAGAAGAACTTTGTGTAACAATGGAATAAATTTGAAAACTGAATATTACTTTTTATATTTATTTATTAGATTTTTTATTTTTATTTACTAGATGTTTTTGTATCACACATCTACATTTAATACTGACTTTTAAATAAAAATAAAATGTTTAAATTCGATTTAAATAAAAAGACTAAATACAAAAATCCATGAAAGGAAAAAAACATCACTACATGATGATAAATTTATAATTTATATTTTATTTAAACAATTATCAAAACAAATGGATCTATTTACATACATTATGTTGTAGAATACATATTCATATACACATCAGAAATAGTGGTCAAATATACAATATGAAATGCAGAGATCAAATAGAAACAGTGTAGCTTCCTTTAGATTGTGAGGCTCTGAGTCTTTGCTGTAGGAGAGATTGTTGACGCAGCAGCAGCTGCAGTTGCTGTTTTTTTGTCCACTTTATCAACATGGTGGTTCACCCAGGTCGTTTCTGGATCTACACAGATCTCTATCCCAACAACTGTCTTAAACCTAAAGGAAAAAACACAAAAACATGATTTAAGTCAAATACTTCAGAAGAGTGTCTCACTGAGGTTCACGTTAGCGTTTGAAAATGAAATAATAGCTAAGATGACACTCACACAATAGCGCGTTTGGCACAGGTGCTGCTGGTCCAGAAGTAAGACACCACTTGCTTTAGAGGAATCCTCACATTATTGAACTCTACACAGCAGTTTGATAGTGCAACAATTGCATGGGGAGCTGAAATATGAAGATATGCAAAATATCACAAATCATTATTCATGCAAAAAATGGAAAAAAAAAAGATTTTGAGCTGTTATATCTTTATTTTTAAATCACCAAATGTCAACAAATGAAACTAAACCTTCCATAAATATTCTGAAAACTATACATTTTGTCTTAATTCAAAATGAAAGCCCTCACCACTTGAAGTCATCTGCACAGAGCAGAAGAGCACCAGGAACAGCACACACATCAGGCTTCTCATTCTTCAAGATGTTTCTTCACAACGACAGAACAAATCTGTAGAAGTTCTGTAGAGCTTGAAGATCTCAGAGCTGTTGTGTTCAGAATAACGTCTGAACACCTTCTTATATACATAGTAGGAGACATATTCCTCATAAAGGCATTCATGAAAATCCATTTCTGAGTATCAACATTGTAGAATGAGAGTCGTTTTTAGCTCTTCCTTTTCCTTGTCCTTTTTTCTGCTTTACCACTCATGCAAGAAAGTGGAAGGTACTTTTCGTTCAAATTCAATGAAAATGTGCTTCAGGGGAACAACACACAGCTTCCTTTTTTCAGGCCTGTCATGCTAAATGTGATGATTTTATAATCAAATCTGAAATGTGCTATCACCAAATATCAGATACTAAACCTTCACTCCTTGCATGCTCACAAGTAAACCCAAAGACCTTGATTAACTGGTTCAGGTGTGTTTTATTGCAGTTAGCACTAACGCACTGTTATTAAACTTTAGGGGTGCTTAGCTCTCAATGAGGATGTGAAGCAAATGCCCTCTAACTTCTATCTCTGATAGTCTACCATGGTCTATCTGGTGCTTCTTTGTAAATCAGAGCCATTATGTTAAAAATGAGGCCATCTACACAAAACACACTGCGCATTAACCTCCCCTCTGTGCCAGAAAAAAAAAATCACTTGCTCATTCAACAATACTACAATCTGAAAATGTGGAGATTCTGCTTTGAAAAATGACCCTAATATTAACACACACCTACAGAATTACCTCCAACAACTGTGTGATTTATTTGGGAGTTAAACATTCACTTTAAATTGTTATTTTCAGTCAGACTAAAAGGGGCAGTTGTGGTCTAATGGTTAGAGAGTCGTGGGTTCAGTTCTCATACCGGCATTCTCAGTAGGCTACCTTCCATCCTCATTACCCACAGCTGAGGTGCCCTTGAGCAAGGCACCTAACCCCAATTGCTCCCCGGACGCTACAGCAAAAATGGCTGCCCACTGCTCCGTGTGTGTGTGTCCACGGTGTGTGTGTGTGTTCACTACTCACTGCTGGAAGTGCAGAGGACAAATTCCAAGTATGGCTTGATTACCATACTTAGCCTACATGCCACATAACTATTTAAAAAAAAAAAAAATCACCTTTTTCTGACTAAAACAAAAAGAAGGAGCGTCTCTCGAAATTTCTAAAGATCCATCCGCAGATCTGCAGGGTCCTTTTAAGAACTCACAAGACAACTTGCGTTCCTCAGAAACTTCTTGTACATATTTTTTTCTTTCATCATTTTTGTTTTAGACTGCAAATATATAGCAAACAGTTCAATGTAAATGGTAATCTTACCATTGCAGAGGACAAATGGTTTTTAAATGGTTTTTATTATAGTCTAATACTTTGGGAAATCTTTGCATAATATCTAATGTAGCCTAGTATAGTTTCATCTTTGTTCTTTCTCATTGAAAGCCTATCAGACTGAAAACTTCCACCACTAGATTTCAGTATACAGTATGACTGCAGGACAGTACCAGGAAGGACACACTACTGTAGATATTTAATATCTAATTCTATTAATATAATCAAGTATATAGTATTTAGTGCTCAAATGAGAAGAGAAATGTGTTGCTAAAGCAGATTAGATATTTCAGTCAGATTTAGACAATTCACGTTAGTCTCAGTGAGATATTTAAAAAAATGCTTTGCTTATTCTTTAATAGTATAGTAACAATACCAAATAAATAAATAAATTAAAAGATTAATAATAAAATGCAGAATACTGTAGAACATGCATTCAATAGAGGATTAAAACATCACTAAATGATAATAATTTTGTCATTTATATTTTATTAAAAACTGAACCCAATTACATGAATTATTCTGTAAATAAAATATTTTATATATACATCAGAAATAGCACAAGGGTGGAATTTACAACATGAAAAGCACAGTTTAAATAAAAATATGTAGCTTCTTTTAGACTGTTGTTCTGCTGTTCAGTTTCGCAGCATGGCTGTTCACCCAGGTGCTCTCTGGATCTACACAGTGCTTTTTCCCTGTTTGTGTCTGAAACCTGGAAAATTATACAAAAACAACATTTAGATCAAATGTTTTTAATGGAGAGTCTAATTTAGGTTAACCTTGCAGTTTAAAATGAGATTGATGACACTCACACAATGGCCTGCCTGGGACAGTTGCTGCTGGTATGGTAGTAAGACACCACCAGTTTCAGAGGAATCTTCACATTAGTGAATGCTATACAGCAGTTTTCCACATTAAATGAGAAGGGAGCTGAAATATAAAGACATGCAAAATATCACCAATTTATACCATGATAATGCAAAAAAAAAAAGGATTAGAAAAATGCAACAAATGAAACTAAACCTGCCATAAATGATCTGAAATCAATATATTCTTCTTGATTCAAAATGAAAGCCCTCACCACTTGAAGTCATCTGCACAGAGCAGAAGAGCACCAGGAACAGCACACACATCAGGCTTCTCATTCTTCAAGATGTTTCTTCACAACGACAGAACAAATCTGTAGAAGTTCTGTAGAGCTTGAAGATCTCAGAGCTGTTGTGTTCAGAATAACGTCTGAACACCTTCTTATATATATAGTCAGAGACATATTCCTCATAAAGGCATTCATGTAAATCCATTTCTGAGTATCAACTTTGTAGAATGAGAGTTGTTTTTAGCTCTTTTTTTCCTTCATCCTTTTTCTGCTTTGTCGCTCGTGAAAATGTGGCAAGTACTTTTCTTTCAGATTCTCTGAAAACGTGCTTCAGCAAAACAACACATAACTTCCTCTTTTTCGGGCCAGTCAAGCTCAGCATTAAATGAACTAAATCAGAAGATTTTATGATCAAATCTGAATTGTGCTGTCACTAAATATCAGGTGCTTAAGCTTGACCCCTTTGCTCACAAGTAAACCCAAAGACCTTGATTAACTGGTTCAGGTGTGTTTAATTAAAGCACTAAACTTAAGTTAGACCACCAGAAACAGGGCCGAGAACCCCTGCTCTAAGAAAACAAAACCACTTCTTGTTTCTTGTGACACTTGTTGGTCTAATAGAGCAGTTAGAATAATTCAGCCACCAGTTAAACTGGTTCACAGAATTAAAATATGCAAATGTAATGACAGGAAATGGGCAGCTTTTCATTCACAGTTAGTGACACTAAGACAAAAATGTTGTGATCTACTATAAAATCTTATTTTCAGACAGACTAAAATGAAAATTTGTCTATTTAAGATGGCATGTAAACATTTCATACCAGTCTGTTTTTTACCGTACAGACCTAGAAGTTACTGTGGGCTGCTCTGAAGTAGTATTAGAGATAGTGTGGTGGTGAACTTTTGGCACTTTTCAGACCTGGGACAATCTTGTGCACTTACTTCTTGGTGCTTGCACAAGTTCTCAAGAGGCCAAGTGTGAGTATTGCAGGCCCTGTGGCTCAGCATACATATGTATATTTTTTATTTATTTATTAGATTTTTTTGTATTACTTTTGTATTAGCCAATATCTAAGTATCTACCTTTATTATTGACTTTTAAATCAAAAATAAAAATAATCTCAAATGAAGAGTTTGCTTTCAAAATATATGCAGTGGAAGATAAAAAAATGTTACTACATTAGGGTAATTTCATCATTTATATTTTATGAACTAACTGAAACCAAACATATCATTTCATTAAAAATGGTATGTACAAGTTAGAAATAGTGCAAGAGTCTAATAATCTTTTAGACTGTTGTTCTGCTGTTCAAATCTGCTCAACCAGCTGGCCTCTGGATCCACACTCATCATACACTCAATAGCTCATCTAGGACAGCTGCTGCTGGTCCAGTATTAAGACGCCACCCATTTCAGACGAATCTTCACATTAGTGAGCTCTCCACAGCACTTTGATTGTGCCGCATCAAATACTAAAGCTGAAATATCCCAAATCAGAAAAATATTGTGAATCTGTTTGTTCATTTACAAAAAAGACAAATATTTTTGAGAAAATCACAAGTACATATCTACCTATATTTTCAAATCACCAAGTGGAACACTAAATTGCAACAAGTAAAACTAAGTTTTATTTAACAAAAAGAGTCCTCGCCACTTGAGATCATCTGCACAGAGCAGAAGAGCACCAGAAACAGCACAGATATCAGGCTTCTCATTCGTCAATGATATTTCTTCACACTGATGCAATAAATTAAACAGAAGTTCTGTAGAGGTTTCTGTTACAGTTACAAAAGAATGAATAAAATGGAACTTAAAGGGGTCATATGACGTTGCTAAGAAGAACATTATATTGTGTATTTGGTGTAATGCAATGTGTTTATGCGGTTTAAGGTTAAAAAAACACATTATTTTCACATTATTGTTTCTCCTCTATGCCCTGCCTTTCTGAAACACGTCGATTTTTACAAAGCTCATCATCTGAAAAGCTAGGTGTGCTCTGATTGGCCAGCTATCCAGTGCGTTGTGATTGACTGAATACCTCAAGCGTGTGACGGAAATGTTACGCCCCTTAACATACTGTGACGCCGTCTCCCGGCACGGCAAGACAAAACCAATAAACCCCATTACAAACGAGGCATTTGTTGCATCCAGTGGGGACATAATTAC